CCCTGTGGGGATTGCTGGGTAGGGCTGGCCGCTGCCGCCCCGGCTGCTGGCTTCGCCAGGCAGACCAACTGCCTGGCGTCCCGTGTCTTTTTTATACTTGGGAGTTTCCCCGTTCTGTGGGCAACAAAGATCAGTCTGGAAATGCCGCTCTGACTCACCGTTTGCAGATTCAACGAGAAGAGCTCCAATCCTGGGTTGTTCTCACAGCGCCATCTTGAGTCGAAAAGCTTTATTGTTCTTTTTCAAGATTATTTTGGTTATTCAGAGTCCCTTTTATTTCCATGTGGATTTTGGATTCACTTGTCAATTTCTTCACAAAATACAGCTGGTGTTTTGATGGAGCGAGTGTGTTGAATCTGTAGATCACTTCGGGTAGTATTGCCATCTTAACAATATTAAGTCTTCCAATCCAAGAACATGGATATTCTATTTATTTAGATCCTCTTTAATTTCTTTCCAAGATGTTTATAGATTTTAGTGTACAAATCTTGCAATTCTTTAGCTAAATTTGTTCCTTATATTCTTTATGATGCAGTTTGAAATAGAATATTACATTTTAGGACTGTATATTGCTGGTGTCTCGAAATATACTTGAATTTTGCATATTGATCTTAAATCCAGAAACCCTGAGGAACTTATTAGATCTCATAAATATGTGTGTGTGTGTGTGTGTGTGTGTGCCTGTGTATGTGTATGCCCCTGTGTAAGTGTATGCCTTAGTATTTTCTGTATACAAGATTATGTCACCTAAATAGAGATCATTTTACTTCTTTTTTTCTTCTAGTTTGGATGCCATTATCTATTTTTCTTACCTAATTGGCCCGGCTAGAACCTCTCATATGATGTTGAATAGAAGTGGTGTTAGTAAACATCTTAACTTGTTCCTTATCTTAGAGAGAAAGTTTTGGTTTTTACATTAAATATGATGTTGGCTATAGATTTTTTTCATATATTTATAAAATCAGGTTAGTGCTTAGAAATTTATACCTATAAATATATTTTAAAGGAATAATTTCAAATGAAATCAAACCTTCTACCTTATGAAACTTGAAAAAGAAGAGCAAATCAAACCCAAAACAAGCAGAAACAAGAAAATAAGGGTAATATTTGCCTCATAAACTAAGTTGGAAGGTATTGTTTCCTATTTCATTTTTATGAAGTGTGCATGAAGGATTGGTTTTTTTATATGCGTGATTTAATGTTGGGTAGAATTTACCAGCAAAGTCATCTGGTCTTGGTCTCTGGGAATTACAATTAACATTTTAATTTATAACAATCTACTTTAGGTTCAAACCAACTTAATTTCAATAGCGTACCAAAAGTTCTGTCCTATGTAGCTCCATTCCCTCCACCTTATTTTGTGCTGTATTGTTATACAAATTACAGCCTTACATGTTTTGTTTTGATTAACAGATTTACAATGATTGCTTCACGCTGTCATTTTCTTAATCAGTTAGGAGATTTAGAAAGAATTACAAACAAAAGCCACATTTATCCTATTTTTTATGTTTACCTATATAGTTACCTTTACCAGTTTTCTTTATTTCTTCATGTGGATTTGCACTACTATCAAATGTTCTTTTACTTTAACACAAAAGCCTCTACTATTTTTTATAGAGCAGGTTTGCTGATGATTAATTCCTTCTGTTTTTGCTTATCTGGAAATATCTTAATTTTTCTTTTATTTTAGAAGGATAGTTTTTTTTGCATATAGAATGCTTAGGTAAAGTCTTTTCCCTTTAGCACTTTGAATATTTCATCCCACTGCTTTCAGCCTTCATAGTTTCTGATGAGAAATCAGCTGTTACTCCTATTGAAGATTTCTTCTACATACCAAGTTGCTTCTTTCTAGCTGCTTTCAAGATTCCCTCTTTGTTCTGGCTTTTGATGGTTTGACAATGATGTGTCTGGATATTCATCTCTTTGATTTATTCTTTTTGGAATTTGTTGGGCTTCTTAAATTTGTAAATCAATGTTTTTAATGAAATTTGGGAAACTTTTAGGTATTATTTTTTAAATATTCTCTCTGTCCTTTTCTCTTTCCCCTTGCCTTCTGGGACACTCATTATACATATGCTGATATGCTTGATGGTGTTTTACAGGTCTCTGAGACTGTTCAGTTTTCTTTAGTGGGGGTCATAGGCTCTTGGCCCCTAAAGTTTGCTAAAAATCACAGACAGGCGAGAAAATGCACATAAATTTATTTAATGTGTATACACGGGAGTCTTCAGAATGAAAATCCAACTTCCCAATGAGTTATAGAAACTTATATACCATTTTGAGGTTATAGAAAGAGTTGGGGCTTAGATTTTGATTTTAAAAAGGTTATGGGAGCCAGGAGAAGAGGCTTGGTGAACAAAGGTGGTCTTTTTATGTAGATAAAGCCACCCTCAGGGGGAATAGATGGTAAATGTTTCTTCTCAGACTTTTAAATGTGTCAGACTTTCCATCTCTCCTAGATCTGGGGAGAGGCATAGAAAGGGGAGGTGGCACAACTGTATTAGTGGAGATTCTCCACATTAATGCAAACTTTCCCCATTTAAGATAGTTTTGCAAAGTCATTTCTGCCTGCTGGCCAAGAGACTGACATTTCAAAATGTGTCAAAGAAATATATTTTAGGGTAAAATATTTTAATTTCCTCCATTTTATTCTTTGTTATCTGTTGCTCAAACCAGATGATCGTAATTGGCAAATTTTCAGCTTCACTGACTCTTCTGCCTATTCCAATCTGCTCTTGAGCTCTTCTAGTGAATTCTTCATTTATTTTCATTTTCAATTCCAGAATGTCTCTTTGGTTATTTTAAAACAATTTCTAACTCTTATTAGTATTCTTGATTTGGTGAGACATTATTCTCATAATTTCCTCTATAGATATGATTTCCTTTAGTTCTTTAAACATATTTTAAAATAGTAGATTTAAAGTCTTTGTCTATTAAGTCTAACATCAGGACTTCCTCAGGGAACGTGTTTGTTAGTTGCTTTTCTTCTTGTGTAAGAGCCATGTTTTTGTGTCTCTTCTCATATATTGTAAATTTTTTTGTTGAAAACTGGATGTTTTAAAAAATATAATTTGGTCACTCTGTATATTAGTTTCTTTCTCCTCCCCAGGGTTTGTTGTTGTCACTGTTTTTGCTGCTGTTTGCTTGTTTAGTGACTTTTTCTGAAATTCTATAAAATCCGTATCCTTTGTCAGGGTGGACACTGAAGTCTTTGTTGAGTTAGCTTAGGGATTAGCTAATGATTGAACAGATTTCTTTGAATGCCTGGAATCAATAAATCTCCTAGCCTTTGCAGATGGATTCTGTGTGTGTGTGTGTGTGTGTGTGTGTGTGCGCACGCGCGCGTGTGTGTGCTCGCGCGCACGTGCGTGCTGGAGCATGCCTTCAACAGTTGGCAAGGCAAATTACACCTGTACCTTATTCTTCACATCCTGCTTGTGCAGAGCCTCAAGGTTAGCCAGAGGCAAGAGCTTACTTGGGGCCTTTTCAGGCCTTTCCTGAGTATGCACACAGTTCGCATACTCACAGTTACACATGTGTATGGCCTTCTAGATTCCAAGAAATATAATGGAGCTTATTAACACTCATTTCTCAGCTTTTCCTTTTTTTTTTTTTTTTTTTGAGACAGAGTCTTGCTCTGTTGCCTAGGCTGGAGTTCAGTGGTGTAATCTTGACTCACTGCAACCGCTGCCTCACACTCAAGTGATTGTCATGTCTCAGCCTCCCAAGTAGCTAGGATTACAGGCATGCAGCACCATGTCTGGCTCTAGATAGATAGATAGATAGATAAATTTTAGTACAGGTAAGGTTTCACTATACTGGCCAGGCTGGTCTCAAACTCCCAGCCTCAAGTGACCCACCTGCCTCCCTTAGCCTCCCAAAGTGCTGGGGTCATAGGTATGAGCCACTGCCTCTGGCCTCTCAGCTTTTCCTTTTAAGCTTCCTAGTTGAGGCCTATTTTTTGCCTCAGTTGTTATCTGCTAACTCAGGCAGCTCTGAAATTAAACAATGGTTTCTTACTGTTCCAGCAAATGCCCCTAGGGAAAAGGCTGTTCACACTGGACCATCTCCAAGTCAGGTCAAATAAAGACAGCTTTGTAAGTGGTCTTTCAGGTAATCACCAGACTGTTTAAATAATGAAAATACTCTTGGAATGAAATAGGTGTTAAAGTTGCTCCAACCCCATTTTGCCCCTTATGGTGTCTGCCAGGCTACTGAGTTTTCACTGCAGTTGTGGGCTGTTGCTTTTCAAGGCTACCATGGAGCTAGGAATGAGGGCCAGGGTAACAGTGAGTGGATAGGCATAGGGCAAGTTAAAATGCTACAAAGCTTAGTGTTTAAAGTTTCAGCCATTTGTTGTTGTGATTTTATAAATTTTCCAGGATTGTTGCAACACTTTCATTAACTCCCAGAGTTTTGATAAAGTTGTTCTAACCATATTTGCCAATTTCTCATCACTTTTATGGAGGCGAGAATTTTATCCTTCGTTTTTATGAGGAGAAAATGACAGGTTCTTACTCTGTCATGTTTACCACCATCACCCCTTAACTAAGAAAGTTTTTAGGAAATTGAAGTGGACTTTTACTCTTTCAAGTCAGAGTGTAAGGAAGGTTGGCTTTTTAATGGCGCATAAGTCAATAAGGGAAAAAGGATCTCATGGAAATCTAAGAAAAGGAATTCATGGATCTGTCTTACCCTGTATCTGTCTTATCCCTCATTAGACAGAGCTTTCCACATTAGGGCACCTCACATGGTACTTCCCAGCCTTTTAATTATCTACCCTTAAGCTGTATGCCTCTGTAGCTGTGGTGAGATGATGTGTTATAGCAGAAGGCTACCTAAGATTGCACTGTAAGCAGAAACTACTCACAGGAAGGTTTCCATGTGAAGGCCTATGGGTGGGAGCAAGGTACAATATACAGTTTGCTCTGTGTGGCCTATAATTTTTTTGTTGAACATAATGGTGACTGAAAAGTTATGATTAACACTTATTATTTCAGGGGAAGATATAATCCAGCTAATCAGAAGATAGTGAGTGCCAAGAGAGGACCAGTAAAAAAGATTACAAGATCAAACCATCTTCCAGAACTCTATCCGTGATTCCAGAACTGGGTGGATTTCTATTTCTTCCTTTTTTTCCCCCCCATCTATAATATTCAACGTGTGAAGTTAATAGTCAGCACATTTCTTCAGGGAATAAAATAGATAAGAAAGAACAGCCAAAATTTTCTTTAGCTCCTCTTCCAGAAATGTGTTTCTTTGTCTGCATAAAAGTAATTTTCTCCAGTGACCCTAAACTATGTAATAGAAGTGCTTGTGAGTTTTAAAATATCCTAGGAAATCTGCAGGCTGGTATAATTACAGCTACTTTTAGTAATAGACCCATGATCAACTCTGATAGTAACATTGGTATCCTATTTGGTTTCGGTTGGCTGTTAGCTAAAAGTGTGTATTCATAAAACCTTTTTGCCATTTTGGGCTGCATCTTGCTCAGTTTTTTAAATCACAGGTTTAAACAAAGCCGAAAATCAAGTCCATTTTAAATTTTGACTTGAAATATGGTATTGTAGAACAACCTTCAATCATGAATAAATGTGTTTGTTGTTTCTACTCTGCCATGAACTTAGGAGATCTTGGGCAAGTCCCTCCACCTCATGTTTATTTCCCACAACTATAAAATGATTGAAGCAAACTATATACTTTCTAAGGTTTTTTACAATTCTAGAAAAGCAAGATTTATTGAATCATAAGGTCAGAATCATCATAAGTTCTGGTGATTTAAGTCATTTTGTGACGTGATAATTCATAGCGACAGAAGACGGACTAATTCCTCAGACCAAACTGCAAGCGTTCACAATACTGAAGTCCAGAAGTGGAGACAGAATGAGGATAAGAAAAGAGAATTCTTCTGAGGTATTTACAAAACTTATTGAATCCTCGCATTCATGGTAGGACTGTTTTTGTCTTTAGATAGTTTTCGTAACTGTCACCTAGGTCTGGAACATATAACTTATTTGTCCACTTTAATAAGTGAAATCATTGGACTTTATAGAAATCACTCAGAAGTAAATATCGTTTCCAGCTAATGGTGTTCTCACCCTATATCCTGCATAAAACCTAAATTCTATTCTGTATCATCAGTAATGAATACCAAATGCATTTCCATAACTACTTTTATAGAAGTTTATTTTATTTAAGGAAGAATATATAAATTTAATATGGCCAAAAATATTTTTAATGACTTTAAAATGTAATGCAGAGAAATATAAAGTAACTTTCTGTAAGTTACTCTACAATGGAATTATTTGTAAACATTTTCCCCTGTTGTTTAGCTAACTATTGGTATTAGGTGCCTTGACACATATCATTAGACAAACATTAGATTTTTATGTCTTATACCATATTTCTTAGCATTAGTAGAAAATTAATAATTTAAATAGTAATTATTATAGGCTGGGTGTAGAGGCTCACACTTGTAATTCTACTACTTTGAGAGGCCAAGGTAGGCAGATCACTTGAGTCCAAGAGTTTGAGACCAGCCTGGCCAACATGGCAAAACTTGTCTCTACTAAAAAAAATAAATATATATAAATATATATATATATATATAAATTATGCTGGAGTGGTTGTGCATGCCTATAATCCCAGCTACTCAGGAGACTGAGGCACAAGAATCACTTGAACCCAGGAGGCAGAGGTTGCAGTGACCTGAGATCATTCCACTGCACTCCAGCTTGGGAGACAGAGCAAGATTCTGTTTTAAAAAATCATTATTATAATTATCAATGAAAAATAAACACTTTTTTATTTCTTACAGAGCTAAGCTATTGTGGGGATGATTGAGGAACATTTAAAGTTATCTCAATCACTGGGATGAAATATTAGTTGAACATCTTATCTCAGGGACTCTATTACCTTTAAGGGTTGGTTCTGCAGGAGCTACTCTGGGATCCTTTTCAGATGTCATAAAAAGTCTGTATCAAACAGAATGATGATATGTTGAGAGAGTATAAAGCACTGAAATGAGGGACTCTAAAATCTGTGTTCTAATATCAGTTTTGCCACTTATAAGCTTCTGACTTTGAGTAAATAACTTTTCATATCCTCAGTTTCTTCCTTTACAATGTTGGGAATATTTACCTTAATTACTGCCTTGGGATTGCTGTGCAGATCAAGGGTACTTATCACATATTTATTTCTTTATTTCTTTAATAGCCTCATTCCCATTAAAAGGGATGTGAGTTAGCTTTTACTAAATATAAAGGTATCAAAAATACCTACAAGACAAAAGATGAAAATTAAAATTTAGCAAGAATTTCCAACTAAGAAAAGTTTTAGTCTAAGCCTTCTACCAGTCAGTGCTTCCCTTTGTAGAAGGAATATACAAGCAGAGAAGAAGCTGCATCTAGTTCTAAGCTCTGAAGGTAATTTGTCATAAAGAAAATGCAGTTACTGGCTGGGCATGGTGGCTCACACTGCCTATCACTTTGGGAGGCTGATGCGGGTGAATTGCTTGAGCCCAGGAATTCCAGACTGGCCTGAGCAACATGACAAAACCCCATCTCTACAAAAATACAAAAATTAACCAGGTGTGGTGGCATATGCCTGTAGCCCTGCTACTCAGAAGGCTAAGGTGGGAGGGTCACTTGAGGCAGACCAGGAGGTTGAGGCTGTAGTGAGCCATGATTATGCCACTGCGCTCCAGCCTGTGTGACAGAGTGACACCCTGTCTCAAAGAAAAATTTAAAAGATCTAATTATTTGTTGCAGTAACCACAGCAAAAATGACAGTTTAGGGTCTTTAACACTCAAAAATGTATTGATTTCAGTATTTGTTTTCTTTTGTTGGAAAGTTCAGAATTCATAAGGCAAAACAATCAGTAAAACAATATATATTTAAAAATTTAAGATATCTAAATGTATTACAAAATATCAAGACTTACCATTTTTAAAAACAAATATTGCTGTAACAAAAAAGATAATGAGTATTGACAAGAATGTGAAGAACCTGGAAGCTTCATATGTTGCTGGTGGGGACGTAAAATGATGCAGCCACTTTGGAAAACAGTCAGCCCCTCAAAAGGTTTAACACAGATTCACCATATGACACAGTAAGTCTCTTATGTGTATGCCCAAGGGAAATGGAAACCTATGTCCACGTAAAAACATGTACAGGAAGGTTTTTGGCACCATTATTCAAATAGCCAAGAGTTGGAAACAATCCAAATGTTTATCAGCTGATGATGGGTAAATAAAATATAGGATATTCAAACAATGGATGCTATTTGGCAGTAGAAGGAATGAAATGCTGTTATGTGCTACAACATGGGTAAAGCTTGGACACACTACCCTAAAAATAATGGAATAACGAAAGACCATATATTGTACAATTTCATTTATATGAAATGTCCATAATAAGAAATCCATAAAGACAGAAGATAGATCAGCAGTTGCTGAGGGTTGGGGGAAGGGTCGGTGATGAGAATGACTGCTAATGGGCACAGGACTTCTTTTGGGGGTGATGAAAGTATTCTAAAATCGATTCCAGTGACAGTTGCACAACTCTGTGAAAATAAAACTATTGTACACTTTAAGTGGGTTGAGGGTATGTTTTGTGATTTATGCCTCAGGTGGTTGTAAAAAAAAGTTAAGTATACATTAACATTTTAATATTAATTAGTAGATGAATGTTAATGAAATATTATTTGATCTTTCTCAAAAATATCCTAAAAATAGAAAAATGCATCATCACTAGTCCTATTACTGGGAGCTTACTTTTTATTTATGTATTTGTGTGTGTGTGTAAAAATACAATAAACTGGTTGGAATATCTGCTTTATTATCATATTTGTACTTTCTCTTTTCTTATTCACATTGCTTCAAACAGCCACCTCTTAAAACAAGAACTGGACCCGTTAGAGGTCATTTGCCTGGAGACATTGGCTTTCAGTGCTGCATGTGTGGCTGGGCCAATTAGAAAACAGGACACACCTTGGATGAAAAGCACTTTAGCTCACCTGCTTACATGGATCCTCAACCTTAGCTGTGTGGCAGACTCACCTGAAGAGCTTAAAGTAAAATATTCAGGTGTGTGTACCACCCCCAGGATTGTGATCTCACATGTATTTCATTAAGCCTCCCCCAGGAAATTGTGCAGAAAAGATTGGGACCCACTCTGCTGGTTCAGGGTGGCTCCATGTCTCAAACTGAATGAAACTTCTTCCAACTTTCCTCAAGCTGACTTCACGTTGGTCTTAGTATTTTTACTTTTTTCAGTGAGAGATAAGGATTTTATTTTTTCTTCATTATTATTTATTTCAAGTCTTATTTTAGACTTGCTAAAATTATTTATAGACTTGCTAGACTATTATTTATTTCAAGTCTTATTTTAGGTTTGCTACCCTGGCATATTGTGTAACGCTGAAGTTTGGGCACAAATAATCCTATCACCCAGGGACTCAGCATAGTACTCAACAGTTGTTTGTCAGGCCACTACACTCCAGGCTAGATGACAGAATGAAACCCTGTCTCAAAAAAAAAGTGTTTCCTAGGTTTCCTTCTAGGATTCTTGTAGTTTGAGGTATCGTGTTTTATCTTTAATTCCATTCATCTTGAGGTAATTTTTGCGTATGTTAAAAGACAGAGGTCCAGTTTCATCCTTCTATCGATCTCAGCTATGATTAGACAGCTATCTCAGCACCATTTGTTGAGTAGGGAATCCTTTCCTTATTGCCTATTTTTGTTGACTTTGTTGAAGATCAGATGGCTGTAGGTATGCCACTTTTTTTCTAGTTTCTTTATTCTGTTCCATTGGTCTATGTGTCTGTTTTTGTGCCAGTACGATGCTGTTTTGGTTACTGTAGCTTTATAGTATAGCTTGAAGTCTGGTGATGTGTTGCATCTGGTTTTCCCCTTTTTTGCTTAGGATTGCTGTGGCTATTTGGGCTCTTTTTTGCTTTCACATGAATTTTAGAGTAGTTTTTCTAGTTCTGTGAAAAATGATGTTAGTAGTTTGATAGGAATAATATTGAATCTTTATATTGTATTAGGCAGTTTGGCTGTTTTAACAATATTCATTCTTCTAATCCATGAACATGGAACGTTTCTCCATTCATTTGTGTCATCTGGTTTCTTCTGGTGGGGTTTTATAGTTCTCCTTGTAGAGCTAGTTCACCTCCTTGGTTAGATGTAATCCTAGGGCTTTCCGTGTATGTCTTTGTGTATGTGACTATTGTACATTGGATCACATTCTTTTTTTTGTAATTGTTCAAATTTTTATTTTAATGCACAGTATGAGAAATGAACTTTTAAATCAACTGATTTGTATGGAAAATTACATGGCAAATAAATTAGACCCATGTTAAAAGAGAAGGTCAGCTAAATGTCCAAACTTAAGGATATAATGGGCACCGATAAACAGATTGCACTGTCTTAAGAGGCTATCTTTCAAACACAGCTTTGCTAGAAACTGGTCCAGAGATCAACAGCACATGGGAATGCTTAACACGGGTGGTGATCAGGGACACGTCTCCTGGGTGCCGCTGTAATGATGTCCACATGTAGAATCACCTCTGCTGCTTCAGCTGCACTTAGAAGAACTTGACACTTTACTTGAAAACTCTGTTATACCTAGGAGAGCCATATCTCCAATGGTGCCTTCCCTCATGTCTAGTCCAGCAGTGGTATTGCCTTCACTGTGAGTAGCTCTGAGCTGTGCCACTAGGTCTGCACTGTCATAGCCTGCATTGTCAGCTATGATGGTTGGCAACATTCTCAGTGCTTTAGCATAAGCCTCCATTGCAACAGCTTCTTCGCCTGGTGTTCTATTGGCAAGCTGTGTCACAGCATGAGCCATCAACATCTCCCAACAGCCTCCTCCATAAACTGTTCTAGAATCCTTTACGGTTTGTGTAAGAACAGAAAGAGCATCATGCAAAGATCTTTCAGCTTCATCTAAAATTTGTTGAGTGGCATCACGCACAACAATGGTACAAGCCTCACCAAGGGCAACCCCAGAAAAGTGAATGAGTTTGTTTTCTCCAATCATGACTTCCTCAATAAATTTGCAACTTCCAAGCTTTACCAGTTCTGGATGATCAAAGGTAGAGGCAATTTCACCACCTGTGACAAGAGCTAGGCGTTCCACGCCTGCAAAATCTGCGTGCTCAATAGCCATGACACCAGCAGCACAGAAGAGCTGTTCAGGGTAATTATATATTAACTGCCTGTTACTGAAGCAATTTATTCCATGCTTAAGAATACGTTCAACTTTCTCCTTCATTTTTTCCTTTTCCGCATGTTCTATTTCTGCAACCTTTGCTGTAGAATCAACTCTTACCCGGGAACCAAATATCTTTATTTTGTCTGTATCCATACCAGTATTTGCAAAAAGAATTTTAGCATTTTCAATTCGTTTTGGTTGATTTACTCTAATGTTTTTATCCAATAGAAAGTCTTCATCTAAATAGGAATCTGCCAGACTTCCTCCTAGCTTCTTGATAATATGAATTGCCTCCAGGTTGCCAGAGCCTTTCAGTCTGAGAACCGCTTCTACAGCTAATTGAGTAACGTGGTCTTTGTGATGAGTAAGAATTTTTGAGGATAATGTTGTGCCCACAATATTCATTAAATCTTGACGGAATTTAACTTCGTTGGAACCATGATCGACTGCAGAACTCAACAGAGCCTCTTTTGCAGCCGTTGTGGCTTCTCTCCAACCTGCTATGATGGTCTGTGGATGAATCTTTTTTGCAATTAAAGATTCTGCTTCCCTTAATAATTCTGCTGCTAAAACAGTAACAGAGGTAGTGCCATCACCAACATCATCATCTTGAACCCTTGACATATCAACTAAAACTTTAGCTGCTGGATTGTCAACACCAATGTTTTTTAGAATAGTGGCACCATCATTTGTTACCATAAGAGAGGCATCTCGTCCACTGCTTAGAAGAATTTTGTCCATGCCTTTGGGTCCCAAGGTGCTTTTTACCAAGTCTCCAACAGCGATGGCACCAATAAAAGAAGACAGACGAGCTGTCTCTGCTCTCTCTTCATCAGCTCCTGCCTTGAAGATGTTAACAGGTGTAAGGGAAAGGGACGCCATGGTTCCAAGGGATTCTGCACACAAGTGGATCCCTTCACAACTCATGCTCGGGGGCCGACAGACCAGATCACATTCTTGATTTGGCTTTCAGCTTGAATTGTTATTGGTGTATAGAAATGTGACTGATTTTTGTACATTGATTTCATATCCTGAAACTTTACTGAAGTTGTTAATCAACTCCAGGAGTCTTTTGGCAGTCTGTAGGATTTTCTATGTATAGTGTGATACCATCTTTGAAGAGAGAGAGTTTGTCATCTTTTCCTATTTAGATGCTTTTTTTTTCTTTCTCTTGCCTGATTGCTCTGGCTAGCACTTCCAGTACTATGTTGAATAGAAAGGATCTTATTTTTGGGAAATTTTTCCAACTAAGCTTTCAAAACAGTAATGATGAGAGCATTATATGCTGATTGCCAGTATTTTCCTTTGACTGTTTAACTTTAAATGATCCATTTTTTTTGCTTAATGACCTTGTAGAGATATTTATAAAACACCTTTTGATTTTTGACTGGGGCTGGATTTTTAAAAAAATGTATAAAGAGCTATATAACATTGGTTTCAAATGAATTATTTCTACCTTTTTATCGTGTTAATTAGTTTTATCAGGTACAGCTGTAGATTCCAAAGCAGTGTTATCTATATAAACTTTAGTACTATTATATTCGTATGCTACTGGATAAGAAATTACTTATTCGAGACTAAGAATTATTCTTGCAACAGAAGCTTATCAGTAACATTATTTGATTGCTTTTGCTGTGTGCACAAGTGAGGCTCTGTCTAGACTTATACACTAGGTATATTTCTTTTGTTCATACATTAAATGAGTTATAGATACTAATTTAATATGTAAGAAATTTTGATTTTTGATTTAAGTATCAGAATAACCAAATTGTAACAACAAAAGTGCTGGAACTTTGGTATTTAAAAAGGACAAAATATACCAGACTATTAAAAACTGGTATTTAAATCATTAAACATAATGAGGTATGAAAAAGTATCTTTAAAATAATAAAGCATTACATAAATGTGAGATCAGATCATAAATTTGACAGCAGGGCACTATTTTTACAGGTTAACATTCACTTAATCTGACTATGAATTAGAAAAATCTCGAATTTATAGAGTTCATTTAACTTTATTAAAGCAATTTGCCAACTCAGTTACAGAAATACAGAAAACATTACTATCTGGAGAACTACTCAATTGTAAGTTTATCATCGTTGAAATTGTTTAAGCAGAGACTAGGTGACCATTTGTCAGGAATATTATCGGAAGGATTCCTGCAGTCATGGAATTGTGTTTGGTTACTGTCAGTATGCCTTGCGATACTAAGATTCTGTTATTCCCTGCTCATTTATCACGCTACAAAACCAGAGACAAAAATGACTCCCTAAAATATATGTTGATGACACCATATAGGCTGTAAATATGAGCTTTCAAAAATGTTTTGCCATTAGCTAAAAACTAACAATTGGTTTTATTAGGGTGATTTTGTGTTTATATTGCAAGGTGTTCAATTGAGCTTCTTATATCTGTAGTTTTCATCAAATGTGGAGAATTTGAGGCCCTTTTTGTGGTGTTCCCTCCTGGGACTGTAATTACAACCTGTTGTAAACCACTTGCCATTGTTCCCTTTGGTTCTTTTTTTTTTTCTTTTTAATATCTTCTGTCACTATATTTATGTTTTCCTTTAAATAATTGGATAGGTATATAATGGCTGGTTTGTTTTGTTTTGTTTTGTTTTGCTTTGTTTTGTCTTGTTTTGTTTTGAGACAGAGTCTTACTCTGTCACCCAGGCTGGAGTGCAGTAGTGGCATGATCTTGGCTCACTGCAGCCTCCACCTCCTGGGTTCAAGTGATTCTCCTGCCTCAGCCTCCCCAGTAGCTGGGACTACAGGCACGTGTCACCACACCTGGCTAATTTTTTGTATTTTTCGTAGAGAAGGGGTTTCACCGTGTTAGCCAGGATGATCTCGATCTCCTGACCTTGTGATCCACCCACCTCGGCCTCCCAAAGAGCTAGGATTACAGGCATGAGCCACCGTGCCCGGCCTTAATGGCTGTGTCAACATACTTATTTGCTAATTACAGTATCTTTTTCATTTCTCAGTCTTTCTAGTGACTGATTTTTCTCCTGGTTTGGGGTATCATTTTCTGCTTCTTATCATATCTACTAATTTTTATATTAGTTGTTAGGCATCGATGATTTCATATTGTTGGTTATAGATTTATTCTTTAGGCAGTTAAATTACTTGCAGTTCAGTTTATTCTTTTCAAGCCTTTGTTAGGGTAAATATAGAGTGGCCTTTGCCCTAGAGAGAGTTTAGCACCATTTCTAAGGCATAGCTATTGTGGGATTGCTGGTAAATTCTGTGAGTGATCAACCGGAACGCTCAACTCTAGCTGGTTGGACCTCAGATGCCTCCCAGGCTTGTGTGGCACTCTGCTTGACCTCATAGAGTTTTACTTTAAGCTTATGTGTCTAAATATCCAGCCAACACTCAAGGGGCTCCTAAGCAGATTTCTGGAGTTCTGTTTTTATCTATCTGTCTGCTTTCTGGTACTCTGCATCTTCAGCCACTTCAACCTCCCTGAACTCCAGCCTCTGTCTTCTCAACTACATGAAACCACCATGCTTTGCTTGGGAACCCCTAGCCTGCTCTGAGCTCTGTACCTGCAGGTAGAATCTAGAATGATGGATAAGCCTCACTTCATTTCTCTCAAGCATCATAGTCTTAAGGTGCATGTCAATATATTAATATCTGCAGTTGTTTCACGTATTTTTGTCTAGTTTTCTGTTTCTTCACAGTAAGAAGCTAAAGTTACTTCTTAGTTACCTGTTACTCTCAAGGCCAGAAGTAAAGGATAAAGCATTAAAATAAAAGCTAAGAAAATATTTTAAAATCTAATATAAAAATCCATTTTGCGGCCGGGTGCAGTGGCTCACACCTGTAATCCCAGCACTTTGGGAGGCCAAGGCGGGTGGATCACGAGGTCAAGAGATTGAGACCATCCTGGTCAACATAGTGAAACCCCGTCTCTACTAAAAATACAAAAAAAAAAATTAGCTGGGCACAGTGGCACGTGCCTGTAATCCCAGCCACTCGGGCGGCTGAGGCAGAAGAATTGCCTGAACCCAGGAGGTGGAGGTTGTGGTGAGCCGAGATCGTGCCATTGCACTCCGGCCTGGGTAACAAGAGCGAATCTCCGTCTCAAAAAAAAAAAAAAAAATCAATTTTGCTATGCATCCGAAACTTTTTGATGTTATCACTTAAATATGTTTTTCTCACCTCAATCACTGAAATTTTCACTGGATAAAATAACTAAATGGGGCTTTGTGTTACCTTGGTGAGGAGATAAGTGTATTCTGGGAAGAAAGAGAAAAAGGTATTTATTTGGTGATGAAATTGACGGACTATGGCAAAGACTGCTGCTATACAGTCACCAAACTGTTTCTTTTTTCTATGGGACGCAGAACTAGGCTACATTTCATATGCATGAAACGCTTTGTTTACCACTGTGTGATGGGGCATACATACTTCTTTGCTTAGTGATATATGCAAGAAACACTGTTTAGTAGTGTGTGGTATGTATGCTACTGTGTTTAGAGATATGGGTGTGAAACACTGTGTGCTCCTAGGTGTGACCCTGTGACTGACTTCAGCCCAATATAACCTAGGCACAAGTGATATATGTCATTTCTGTGACTGGCCCATTTAAACCTCCCAGGTGATCCTTCTTGGTTGTTTTTTTTTTTTAAAAAAAATTGTGTTACGGGTGGATATAGAGGGTCTAGAAGCAAATTCCAAGGCCTCAAGATCCACAAGGTAGAAGAAACTTGAGTCCCCGAATCACTTCATATAGCACCTGCATCCCCCTCACTTTGCTAATCCTCATTTGATTTTTATGTGAGGGAAAAGGAGATCCTTTTGTATGTTTCTGTGTGTGTTAAGCCACTGAGATTGAGGTTTTACTGGTTGAGGTGATCAGCCCATGCTCACTTGTATCAAACAGTATTTTTAGTAAAACTTACAGGTATTTAGGTTTTTTTCAGTAGATAATAATATCTTTCTTTGCAACTACATGAAAAGATAAACTCAGCTATTCATTGATATTGATGGCCCCTGGCCTGTTGCATCACTGAATCAGGTTCTTGAATCTCAATTCATATTTTAAAATTGATTTGAACTCAGTATATTTTCGAGTCTGCTGAAAATAACTAAAACAATGATTTTTTTTAACTAAATCTTTTTGCATTTCCATCAGTGTCTTTCTAGTATGCTGTTCTTTTAAGCCTTAGTACAAATGCTGTAAAATCTGATAGCCAAATACTGGCTGGGCCCAAACAACTGTGGAATGTAGCAGTCAGTGTGTCAGCATGGAAGGATGCCCATAATAACTTTTGCTCAGTTGAGGAAGAACGCACAGCATCACTCGCCCATAGCACTTATAAAATCTCATTGGCAAGATTTGGTGAAAGCCCTCTTTACTGGGAATGGGGTTGGTTCCTTTCTTAGGCTCTGACTCTGCTCTTGGGAGGAATGTTCTTGTCCATTTTTTCCCTAGCCTCTGGCCACAGTCCATGGGAGTTTCTTCCTTTTCCATCTTCTTACCCACATTCAAAGCGGATGATGAGATGCCCTCTTTTGGGGATGCACAGCTTTCAGAGCTCATTTTCTGTTTGAGCAAAATTGGGTGTCTAGAGGTGATGTTACAGTTCAAAGGCTTTTTAGTCCTAGTTTCTATAAATTCCATCAAAATATTAGTTCTATGTATAATTTCAGAGCATGATTTCTTTCTTTGGCCCATACCTCTGTCTGCCTAATGGCAGCTACCATGCAGGTATTCACATAATTGATAAAGGTGATGTGAAGTTAACACCTATTTATAATCTGATCCTTTCCACAAGGCTATTAGTGGCCTTTTGTGGCTCAAGACTTTTCTCAGCCTTATCTCTTTCTTTTTGGGATCTAGAAATAGTTGGCCTTTCCAACTATTTAATGCCCTTTGATGCCCCAAATTTCTAGATTCTTTCTTAGACTCTCTATTCCCTTTATTTCTCCTTGCTGGTTAGCTATATTGCAAGCTCATCAATTTATTGTCTTGTCAAAGGCAGCCAGTAACATCTAGTACACATGCATTAGTCCATTCTCATGCTGCTAATAAAGACATACCTGAGACTGGGTAATTTATAAAGGAAAGAGGTTTAATTGACTCACATTCTAGCATGGCAGGGGAGGCCTCCGGAAACTTACAGTCAAGGCAGAAGTGGAAGCAAACACGTCCTTGTTCACATGGCGACAAGAAAAAAGTGCCAAGCAAAAGGGGGAAAAGCCCCTTATAAAACCATCAGATCTTGTGAGAACTCACTATCATGCGAACAGCATCATGGGGGTAACCTCCCCCATGATTCAATTACCTCCCACCAAGTGCCTCCCAGTCATGTAGGGATTATGGGGACTATAATTCAAGATAGGAGTTGGGTGGGGACACGGCCAAACCATAACAACACATTATTATTAGTTGTTTTCCCAACGCCGTTCCTTTGACCTACAGTCTTAGTAAGCGCTTCAGCTGCTGTGGCATAACAGGAATCCCAGGCTTCCCATCTCCTGTATTTGTTTCTGTGCCTCTCACTGCAGACCTGCTAAGTTAATGCCACAAATATTAGTATTTTGTTAAGGTAGCACCTAATTTCACGTTATTAATTTCTCTACTATGACTATAAAAAATAACTCTGAGACCTCAGAGGCTTAACACAGAGGTTTCTTTCTCACACACATCACCATCCATTCTGGTTGCAGCAGTGAAAAGGAGTAAAAATTAACAAAATGGTATTTATATCTGGGGAGAGAGGCAGAAATGTGAATGAGACACACACATAAGATATTTTAGAATTATCGATAGCATCTGTTAGGCTGAGTGGTAGGTACATACACATCCATCTTATTCTACTTTAAATCATTCATATATAATAAATATACTTGGGTATGTATTTTTTTTTGAGACAAGTCTTGCTCTGTTGCCCAGGATGGAGTGCAGTTGCACGATCACAGCTCACTGCAGCCTTGAACTCCTGAGCTCAGCCTCTCAGGTGTGTGTCATTGCACCTTACTTATTTTTTTTTTAATTTTTGGTAGAGTTGATGTCTTGCCATGTCGCCCAGGCTGGTCTTGAACTCCTGGCCTCAAGCATTACTCCTGGCTTGGACTCCCAAAGCATTTGGATTACAAGCATAAGCCACCCACACCAGGCCTCTCAGCTGACTTTTAAACCATGTTATTACACATCAACATATTAACGAGGAAAGTGTAAACATTTTTTCCTACTCTACCTCATTCCTCACCTTCACAAACAAGAAGCTTTTCTCCTTTAAGGTGGTCTGACATTTTCGTGCTAAAGAAATTCCTCATAACTTCATACAGCCACAGTTGGCTGTCACTGTGGCTAAAGGAAAATGAGTTCGTTTGTAACTTTGCGATCCCCTCAGACCATAGAGCTATAACCAGTGACTCCAGGAGCTGCTTCTACTGCTTCTGCTGTGTTGCTACCCTGAGGGGATGCCCTCACAATGAATCAGTGTGGCATTGCCCAGGCTTACTGTGGACCTTATGTGACACAGGCACTCCTCCACAGTTACAGTGTCACTTTGGTTTAGCTCCACATTTTCTAGCAAAGATTTGTGGTTAAAATGAGGCAGATTTTGTAGAACTAAATCCTGTTTGAAAAAGTGAATTAGGCCGGGCGCAGTGGCTCAAGCCTGTAATCCCAGCACTTTGAGAGGCCAAGGCAGGTGGATCACGAGGTCAAGAGATCGAGACCATCCTGGTCAACATGGTGAAACCCCGTCTCTACTAAAAATACAAAAATTAGCTGGGCATGGTGGTGCGCTCCTGTAGTCCCAGCTACTCGGGAGGCTGAGGCAGGAGAATTGCTTGAACCCAGAAGGCGGAGGTTGCGGTGAGCCAAGATTGTGCCATTGCACTCCAGTCTGGGTAACAACAGTGAGACTCCATCTCAAAAAAAATAAATAAATAAAAATAAAAATAAAAAGTGAATTAATATACTGAAAGATGAGAAAACTGTCAAGTCTTACTGCAGTCTAATGCAGGGCATCATTAGAAGTTGGTTCTATTCGTTGACCTTTGTTACTGCCTAAGGCCAATGGTTCTTAACTCAGTGGGAAAAACAAATCACTTCTGTATGTATCCTAAATACTAGAATGTGAAATCCAATAAACAATCTCTGCCATACCGTGCTGCTAAAATCAAGTCATAATTGTTAAGCAGAGGTGTGAGATGGTGTTAATCTTTTTGAAGTGCTATAACAAAATACATGCTGGGTGGCTTATAAACAGCAGAAATTTATTCTCACAGTTCTGGAGGCTGTGAAGTCCAAGATCAAGGCAGCAGCAGATGCAATATCTGGGGAGGGCCCACTTCCTGGTTCATAGATGGCATCTTCTCACTGTGTCCTCACATGGTAGAAGGGGTGAGGGATCTCTTGTGGGCTTCTTTTACAAGGGCACTAATCCAATTTATGAGGGCTCCTCCCCCATGACCTAATTACCTTCCAAAGATCCCACTTCTTAATACTATCACCTTGGGGATTAGATTTCAAATATGAATTTGGGGGAGATACCAATATTAAATCTTTAGCAGATGAAATTAGTAGTACTTTGAAAATGTTCCCGCTGTCTTCTCAGACTACAAAAAAAAAGTGTGAGTCAGCCTGTTGTGTGGGAGAAACACAAGCAAGCACAAGTGTAAGTAGGTGTGCTAACCTCAGACAACGCAGCTGTCAGAACTGTACTTTCAGGTTAGGAGGACTGAGGGAGAGGCAGAAAGGAGGCATGCATGCTGCAGGAGTGGTAGCCTCTTTGATGCGAGGATAATGGGACAGGAAATGTTTTTCAGGCAGAGGTCAGCATCAAAGGATTAAGTGAATTAGCAGCTGGGAAGGATCAAAAGATATATTCAGGGCAGTTCCCAGACCATGAACTGTGCTCACAGTGGTGTGATGCCAAGTGCTGTCCTTTAAGGCAGCATAGGGCTCCTCTATGCTTCAGGTGCCTTGTCCTATCAACACTACAATTCCAAAGAAAGAAGTTACTCCATCTGCTTGTGCAAATCTTACACTGGGGACTCTTGTGGGACCTCAGGACACTATTACGGAATACAAACTAGTCACTTGATGTAAAGCTAAGTCTAGAAAGCCAGACTGGAACAAGGTATAATGTGTCCCTAATGCCACACTGAGGAATGGGACTTAATTGCAATAAGCAGGGAAACACTTGTGCATTTTTAAATAGGGAAAGGACGGGATTAGAACTGACCTTTCCTTCTCCCCGTGCCACCACCAACACAACTCACACTAGTCCCAGCTCTGAAATACTGAGCTTGCCTTTTGGTGCGTGTAGTATTTTTTCCTTTCCTCCAGACCCCATCTTTTCCTTTCCACTACACAAGATTCAAGAATGTGAAAGATGGCAGCAAAATTAAATGGTTTACACTCTATAATTTGGAGGGTTTATATTAATAGCAGAGTTTCTCCACCTCATTTTGGACCAGTAAGTCTCTATTGTAGAGCGCTGTCCTGGGCATTGTAGGGTGTTTAGCCCATCCCTGAACTCTACTGGCTAGAAGCCAGTGCACTACCTGTGATGACAATGAAAAATGTCTTCAGACACTGCCAAATGTCCCTTGGAGGGCGAAATCTTCCCGAGGAAGAGACATTGTTTTAGAGTGGATGTCTGTTCATTTACAAAGCAAGTTTTTTGTTTGTTTGTTTTGTGAGACAGGGTCTGCCGCTGTTGTCCAGCCTGGAGAGCAGTGGGGCAGTCACAGCTCACTGCAGCCTCAAACGCCCAAGCTCAAGCAATCCTTCCACCTTAGCCTCCGAAGTAGCCACCACTGTGTGCCACGACACCAGGCTACTTTTCTTAGTTTTTGTAGAGACTGGGGTCTCCCTGTGTCTCTCAGGAGCTATTGGCTTCAAGTGATCTCACCTTGGCCTCCCAAAGTGCTGGAATTATGGACATAAGCCACTACTACACCACTACCCCGGGCCTTTTTATTTTATTTTATTTTATTTTAGCTTGGAAACAAAAATATCTAACTTTTAATTCTTATGAAGCTTGGACTCATATTCTAGATACAAGAGTCGTTTATTATTTTTCTTTTTTCTTCCTTTAACACAGTAGTGATGACTTCCTCTCACATAATCTTAGGGGCATTTTTTTACTTAAAAGCAATGAGTCCGTTTCCATTTCAACATTGCCTTTTCATTATTAGCATCAGATTTGCTTGTCTAGACCTCTGGAGCAATGGAAATCTGGTGTTTGCCTGTTCAGGGCAAAATGCTCAAAGCTGCCTCATTTCACACCCTACACCAATGTCTGGGCAGGACTTCACCTTTGGCTTATATTGGTGATTAAACCACTTCCCTCACAGACATTGATATGGACACTGTCAGTTCCTGATTAACTGGAAAAGCAATAGAAGCGAAATTTATTACACTCTATTAAGACGTGTACACTTCCAAAAGTAATGCAGAATGATCCCATGAGAAGTTTATCTGCACCTTTTCTTCCCATCAGAATTGTAGAGAACCATAGCAGTATTTTTGCAGGTTCTCAGGATCTAAATCGGGCCCCGAAGACACAGCACCAGCTGCTCAGGAACCAGGAGACTTGCCCAAGGACCGCCTGCAGCAATGGTTCCGGTAGAGCTCCTCTGTTATATGCTCTAGTGAGATCTAGAGTCTGCACTCATCCACAGTAACCACCATACTTATAGCAATGGGAAAATCATGGTACATTAGTCAAGACAGACCCGAGGAAAGATCCTCCACGGGTCCTGGCACTCAACAAGTCTCAGTAAAATGTCCAGTGAAGCTTGAGTAGACGGGTTTACATAGCAGCAGCAGCCACAAGAAAATTTTATTGCTTCAGCCTCCGTTGAGAAAACAGGGACAGTATTTGTTAAACCACAGCACAAAAATGAGGTTTTATTTATTTAGAGACGGAATCTCACTCTGTCGCCCAGGCTGGAGAGCAGTGGCGCGACCTCAGCGCACTGCAACCTTTGCCTTCCGGGTTCAAGCGATTCTCCTGCCTCAGCCTCCCAAGTAGCTGGGATTACAGGCGCGGGCTAATTTTTGTATTTTTAGTGGAGACGGGATTTTGCCATGTTGGCCAGGCTGGTCTTGAACTCTTGAGCTCAAGTGATCCGCCCACCTCGGCCTCCCAAAGTGCCAGGATTATTGGCGCGAGCCACCATGCCCGGCTTAACATTTTAAATTTCTTAGTGGCTTGAAAAGAAAGCACTGTAAAAGTATTCGCCTTCCCTATCCTCTGCATATGTTTGTTTAGAAAGTAGCAAAACAAACCCAAGTGTTTACTAATTCCTAACATTTAAACTGGAAAGACTGGCCATAAGAAATGACTTCATAAAATTGTTAGTCCATCCTGAGGTGACGTCTTGCCTCCTCATCCCCAGGCGGCGCAATGGGAGTGACTACGTGGTGCTTGGTGTCGTGAGAGCTGCCCTGGGAAGGGAACTTGGGGTTCTCAGGCTGCTAATGACGCGGTCTCCTAAGGGTCCCAGGACAACTTGAGCAGTCCCCGAGAGCAGGCCCCGGCCGGGGTTCCGCGGGGACCCCTTAGAGCAGCCTGCTCCTCCCCCAGGCGCCAGACCCAGTGGCACGGCCACTTTAAGGGCGCCCGGGGCGTGCTCGCCCTCAGCTGCAGCCAGGAGCCATTACTGCGGCGGCACGCAGCGGCTGTGGAGCTCCTCCTGCTGGGAGGCTGCCACCGGACCCAGCACGTGGTAGGCGGCCATGGCTGCTTCAATTATCTGCCAGGAGCACGGCCGGATCTCGGGCCAGGTAAGAGGCGGAGGAAGGGGAGGCAGCTGCGTTTATTACCTCGCGAGCAGGCTCCGGGCTGGTGGCCCCCTCGGCCCTCAAAGCCCAGCCCGGGAAGCTCTCATTCTGGGGGTACCGCAAGGAGCGGGTAGCAGGAAGGGCCCCTTCCAGGGCATGAGTTCGCCCTCCTCGTGCACTCCGAGCTGGGGAAGCGAGGACTCGGCTTCCGAGGGTGGCCCCGGGTGCCACCCGGCTTTTAGGGCCTGAAGTCGGGGAGGACGGGGCTGATTTATCTCAGGAGAGGAGGCCATAGAAGAAATAGGACTGAGTCGTGTTATACAGAAAACCCAGTGTAAATGAAATTTAAATGAAATGTTCAGAGTGAAACTTATCTGGAATCCAAAAATTCCAGATTATATCACATCAATTACTCAATAAATGTGAATTCTCCAACTTAAAAACGTCTTAGTCCTTGACGTTTGCCCAGTTTATTTTTCGAGCAGAAGTCCACTTGTAGCATTGGCTACCTAGAACACAATTTAGTAGGCACGCTGGGGCTGGTGGCTGGTCAAAAATGTGAATGATTTTTATTTTTAATATAAAAGTTTCTTTAGGCGCGCTGTCTTCCTGCATTGCCCTCTGCACAGTTGGGCATGCTTATTTTCAGTTTGCACACTGGCGTGGCGTCCCAAAGCGTCCTTCGTGGAGCTTCCACCCAAACAGGCAGCTTTGTGTGGAACCAAAACCGTGATGGGACGGGGACCTGCTCTGCACCATCCGCCACCTCCATGGAAATCAAAGGCCCACTGACCTCTCTTGAAAGCACTTTATTTTTCAGCCCCTTTAGCAAAGCACAAAATCACTTTTGTAACTGTTTTCGATAAAAGTGAAAGGTGATGATTACGCCACTGGGAAGAAAGCATAGGCGAGACCAGCTGGGGCAGGGGGCTTTCATCTTAGTATTTTCCACGTCTTGATAAATAGGAGAGGGCAACCTTTTGTGCTGAGTTTAGTCTTTTTACCTCTTAGAATGCTCTGCAAATAATTTCTCCCCTAAGAGCAAGCTTTTTGAAATGGAATTATGATCACTTTGAAGTAGACTCGTTTAACAGGTTTTCTTAATTTTTCAAGATGGAGGAACCTACTTAAACTCTAAGGAAAAATAGTACTTTATGATGCCGGATTAGGCAAAGCTGCACAAAACGAATTCTGAATGAAATACCTGATTATCTAGTAGAACATAAATGATTGTGATTTCCTCCCCTTAAGAGAGTGTGGAGCCCCAACTGATTTCTTTGTGTGCCTTTGTGAGAAGAGCGAGTTGCCCAGTTTCTCCAGATAGAGCTGTTTAAGTCCCCTGACTCCTGGGGAAACTGAAGGCCCACAATTGCCTCCTGAGAGCCTCAGCCCTGCAGCTGCTGCTGATTGTGGGCTACGCTGCTCCTGGTGATAAGAGTGACATAAATAACAACTCACTAAAATGTAGGAGTGATTTGCTTTAAGCACTTCAGCACCTGCTGTTACTAATTAAGGGTTTAGCCTGCCACAGATTGCAAATGGAAATCCAGTGTTTTAAAAATTGTAGAGACTGGAGTGCCCTGCGTGTTACTGTGATCACAGAAATGAAACAGCGTGGATAAAGTGTGTTGGTGACAATGATGTTGTGTCATTAAAACTGCCCACACTTAAAGGATATGTACTAAGGTGTTAATAGGCCTTACCCTTGAGTGGTGGAATTAGAGATACGTTTCTTTTTTGAATTTTTCAATATTTCCCAATGAATACTTGTTATTTTTGTTTAAAAAGGTATAGTAAGCAATTCAAACAGAAAAAGAAATTTCATCAAATGAAATCTAGCATTGCTTCAAATTATAGTGCCCACAGGTGAAAATCTTAGATGTACTAACAGGCCGTTTTCCAAGCAGAATATACTAGAAACAATCCTTTTTCATCAATAAATCTTTTTCATTGCCTGTGTTGATATTACATTGTCAACAAGATATTTTAACTAAATATTCAGATTTATGTTGATTATAAAGTATTCCGTTAATTTGAGTTAACTAGAATTGGGATAGTGGACTTGAACAGTGTTCTGATTTGTCTGTTAACATTCCAAGCGTGCTATGGCACTGATTTTGTAAGGCAGGGAAAGAAGCATTTGGCAAGAGAGCAAATCAGTTCTTTCCAGAGCTTCTTTATGTCATACCCCCTCTGTGCCATGATGCAAGACACTATGCAGAAACTTCAGACTCCTACACAGAATGGTGGGTTAGTGGTGCTTGCTTCTCCTCATCCCTTTCCAGACTGTGTTCCTACCTACCCTCAGATTTCTCCCTACTTCCCAGTACCTGTGTTCTGCCCTTCATAAGTCTTTCTTGACGTTTTTTTTTTTTTTTTTCCAAAAGGCTGAGAGATTCTGGGGATGTTGGGAACGGAGCCTCTGAGGGTAATAGTGCAGTCAGAATGCCCTGTGCTAGGTAGGGAAAAGACTCAAGCTAGGCAGCTGATTTCTGTTATTCTAAAACTTATGCTCTGCAGGAGGTCCTGTTTCCTGAGCAATGTGATTCAAACAGTGCAGAGATCAATTCGATTGAGAGTTACCGTCAGTGCCCAGCAGGCCACAGTTTTCCCTCTCCCTAACCCCTGCCTTGCTAGGTTGACTTGATGCTTTCCGTGTTCTTTGTGCTCGGGTTCCGTATTACTTGAGAAAGCATGGCGGTAACTACCACCTGCAGTGCACTATACAAACACTTCTCATAGCAATCTTGCAATGTAAGTATTTTGATCCTCCAGAGGAGCATCACTTAAGTGTCTTATGCAAAGCCACTGGTAAATAGTTGAACTAAGTGACAGATTCTGGTCGGTCTCAAATGGCTTTGCTCCCTTCCCACTGCATCAAGCTGTTGAAAAAGAATTAGTAATAGCCTTGAGTAGAACTGGTCATACTCTAGTCTTCCTGCATTCCAAGGATCAAATGCCATGCTTTCTTATCAGCAGAGAAAAGGGCTCTTAGAATGTAAGCCCCATGAGGGTAAGGACCTTGTCTGTTTACCGTGTGTTCCTAGACCCAGCCCTTTGTCTGCCCTATAGTAAGGGCTCCATAAATATCTATGGAGAGAATAAATGTCAAGCCTATTTACACAGATACATAAAGTGGCAGAATATTTAAAAGAAAAAATAAACTTTACTAATAGGAAGTTTTACAAACTATATCCCAGGACACCCTAGTTTATATGTGTTATTGTGGCGTGGTTATTAATAGCACCTCCTTTCGTTCTCAAAAACGCCTCAGTTTGGAAGATCAATTATATGGTCATCCACCCTAATTGTACTAGATGGGTTATTTTGGGGCATTCATATTCACTTCAATTAATCAGGTTAATTAAAAAACAAAACTAGAATTGCTCCTGTTATGATCACTTGTTAATGATTGTTTCATTGTTTGGCTTTGCATTCACAAAGAATATATTTATATAGAAGAAATCATGTGCTACAGTGGAGATTCAAAAACTGCACTTAGAGACATCACAGAGGCTTAGCCTCCCGTACTGCTCCTAAAGTGCGGCTGGAAATGAGTGTTTCTAAAAGGCAAAGGAAACAACTAGTGGGGCCCCAACACTCTCTACTATAGAAATTCCATATTTCAAAGCGTATTTAAAAGTGTTAAGCTGTCTTCTTGGAACATAGACTATTGCGGGAGGTAGAAGGAAATAAGGTTGGTAAAGTAGGTTGGTAGCAGGCTATGAAACACCACGCTAAGGAGTTTAAATTTGTATTCTGTTTAGAGTAGGATAGCACAGGTGAAGGAGATTGGCTCATGATGGTGAAATGAGCACACAGGTCCACCGCCCTCTCTACCTCAAACTCCATAGCAGGAGATGTTTTCAAAATGTGATGATTCCTACAAGTAAATATCATGGAACAAACAAATACAATGCATAGTTCTTAATGGGATCTTGGTTTGAACAAAGCAATTCCTCTCTAAACAATGAAAAAAAAACCCACAGAAAAATGTGACATTTAGAAAGCAGATGGGGTCCAAATTGCAACTAAAACAAAAGTAGAAAAACCACAGCTTACAAGATATAAAGAGAAGAAATGCAGTGATAAAACAATTTTAGTGATAGTCCAGACTCAGTGTTGACAGAAACAAAGATGAATAGCCCAAAGGGTGCTCACCTGGTGTGAATTAGCTGGATGCAGAACACCCAGGGCCAGGTGGGCCCCCTTGATTTACCCCGTGGACTCTCCCCTCTCAATCCTGCTACCACAGGAGCAACGATGCTTTTAACTTAAGAACAAAGCCCAGGAAGTTTTCTCTAAAGAAAATGAACTGTATATGGGATGATGACTCTTGGTGTGGGTAATTTCCAGACTTCTGTAATTGAAAAAGGAAAGGAAAGGTAGTTCTTCCCAGGAGGGAAATAAACTAACATGCTTGGTCTTCAGAGTAAAGCCTACCTTGATTTGACAATTAGCTGGCGCCAACCTCTCCGTTCTCCAGCATTTGCATTCGCTCACTCTGCTCACACCAAACCCAAAGTCAGTTGTCTCATTAAAGGAGGCCCCCACTGGGGAAACACCACTGCAAATGCAAGAGAAACTGCCTGTTCATATCCACTTAGTTCTTGACTCATATTTATGTTTGGAAACCAAAGCTTGCCAGACATTAGCAGAACGAGACAGATGCACAGATAGGAAAATTAAAAAGACAGATTTTTAAGGTTCTATAGTCTGAATGTTTGTGCCATCTACCAAATTTATATGTTGAAATCTTAACTGCTAAGGTGATGGCATTAGGTAGGATCTTTGGGAGGTCATAAGGGAGGAGTCCTCATGAATGGGATTAGTGCCTTATAAAAGAGTCCCAAGAACCCTTGCTTCTCTACCATGTGAGGACACAGAGAAATTGCCATGTATAAGCCAGAAACTGTGCCATCACCAGACACTTAATCTGCCAGTACTGTGGTCTTGGACTTCCCAACCTCCGAGCTGAGAAATAAATTTCTGTTGTTTATAAG